GGTTGTTGTTTGTTTTACTGTTTCGGCTGCGAGTTGGGTTGTACATCGGTGAGCCATGGTCAGTGCCCAGGTGACATGTTCACTGTATTTGTGTAGGGTCTTTTTTTCTTGCCCCGTCTTGCATAAGGGGGCAGAAAATGCTGCCCATGAATAAACTTGCTCATACATCCCAGACGGTTGCGAAACTCCACTTTTTTTAAGGAAAGAGCCAGTCGAGTTAGTCTAAATTTCCTACGGTACTGTATGTCGCCTTTTGCATAAGATTTCTTGAAATGGAAAAGGAAGGCTGGGGACAGAAGGAAAATTGTCGTGCTTGGGGTACACAGCACTGGATACCCTCATCTAGTTTGACCGCCGATTGAGGAGTTTACTCGGAGGTGGCCGTTTGGCAGAACCTAGCTTGGGGAATCCGTAGATGAGGGTTGAATGCCAGTTAGGGGCCACAAGGAGCAGTCACCATCGACATTAAGCAAGTGATGCAACCTACTACTTCCGGCACGCCGAGCTCCCGAGCTGGGCACCCCTTACACCCCATTTCTAGCTGTGCTGAATCTGGCAGTCACTGTCGAGTAGCCCCCTAGGTTAGCCGAAAAGAACAGGAATTGAGGCAGCCGGGTGATGACAGTCTGGTGCTATCACACCAGTCACCTCATCCAAGCTCGTCTGTTCTCTGGACCCAATTTGATCACTGATGCACAGTGTGCTTGGAGAGGGGAAGATCAATGCTGTCCAGGTCTCCTACACTATACCCCAGTGAATGTCGTCATTGTTTCGGGTTGGCGAGTCAGATTGTCATGCATAAATTGTCTAACGACAGTAGAATTGAACATCATCAACCTTCACCATCACGTTTAAAAGCGGATTTTTGCATTCTCGTTGATTTTTAAACTCACCCCTTACTTTGTGCGTCTGCTTGACTTTCAACAATGTTTTTCGCGGTGTTTATTTTTGGTTTTTTCTTATTACTTAGGAGTACATCACAGTGGAAACTCTTGACGGTGATAATAAGTACGACGCTGGAGAGTTTGGCTTACAGGAAGCGGAGAAGGGCGTAATATTCACCCAGTTCCCTCCAGTTCTTTACCTCCAACTAATGCGTTTTCAGTATGACTGTATAGCAAATGCCAATGTTAAAGTTAATGACCGCTTCGAATTTCCATATCGTCTCTGTCTGGATCGTTTCCTCCGGCATCCTGAACATAGCGTATACATCTTGCACGCTGTTCTAGTGCATTCAGGAGACAATCATGGAGGCCACTACGTTGCTTACATCAACCCCCGTGGTGATAATACTTGGTACAAATTCGACGATGATGTCGTCTCCAGGTCTACTCGTAAGGAAGCCATAAATATGGTGAGCACCGATGTGTTTGTTTATAACTTGTAGGCCTATGCAACCCAGTGCCTCTTGCTGGAGATTTATACCTCTGGGTGCAAAGGCGACGCATGTATACGTAGGATATCTACTCATTCTCACTATTATTTGACGTTTTTGTTTGTTTGATTTTTTTGTTCCGTAAGCGTGTAAGCTTTAATAAGAAAACTTGAGTGAGAATAGCCGTTTTGCACTTGTGCATCTGTTAGTTGTTTCTGATAGAAGCTTCATCGGCTTAGGTTTCATTTAATAACATATAACTACCGGTACAAACATATAGAAGACAGCCTCAGGTTAACAATTCAACGACTCCATTGGGGGAAACTGCTGTTGGACAGCTTTTATTACATTCACACAGGTATCTGTGTCAGAAGTCATACTTTTTGCAAATGGTTCTTAGATCCACGCGGCTGGTTCATATCAGGCAAATTTAATATTTTAATTCATGTTTTTGTGGCTTCCGCAGATCTCTCCTTTTATAGGACTGAACACGGGGCTATTCTCTTATATTTTTCAGTGCCGCACTAGAATTGACACAGGCGGTCTCGTAGTGAAGACTAAGCTTTATCAAAAGTAATGAAAGTTCCCAGACGGCTGCTCAATCAAACAATTATTATCATCACCAACAAACCCAGGCGAGACTAGAAAGACCTTTTTCTGGTCTATTTGCCGTCCTCAGTCAGTCGTATCTCTAGTCCATGTAGCAAGACCAGATGTTTGAACCGAAGTTCAGTCCATATTCAAGTTCGGTTGGCGGACGCAAACTTACTCTTCTACGCTACTTCAAGCATTACCGATCGCAGCTGAA